TTAGCCGCCACAAAGATTCAAATACGAAGACGTAAATTTTCCAGACAAGTACGAGTTAATCTCTCTTACATTTTTTGTGCTCTAAGTATTTTGGTTTTTATTGTGTTTTTTTTTTTCTTGGGGTTTGGTGCTTCAAATGATTTTGATGGTAATTGTTTATTTTACTCACTTATATGTGAAAACAGGTGAAAACATGTACTTATATGTGAACGGTAGGCGGATAAACAGCAACATAACCACCAATCTCCCATTAAAAAAAAGCCTTTGTCCCCAGTAACCTCTAAGCACATCCGAAGCCGTGGAACTAACCGAAACATGATGCATTAACCCCCCCCCCCAAAACGCCGAAGAATGGTACAACGTGTTAAACAAATTTAATGACAACCATCATTCCTTGAGGCAACGTCACTTTAGGAGAATGCTCATCGAATCTGATATCAAACGGTTCCAAAGTCGTCTTCCTTGTGAAATAATACACAGAATCAACATCCGGTAAACCGTTTGAAATCCCTTGCTGTATAAACTGTTTACCACCAAAAACCTCAGTGTAATACTCTTCATGATTAATCTCTCCTACATTCTCTAATGGCAAACCTCTAGGCCAAACCGATCGTTGTCCGAAATGGATATAAGGATTAACCACAGTCCGATTCGGGTTTTCGTGACTATACTGCAAGATTGGTTCTTGCCTAGCGTCTTCACCTACTAACTCAACATCAAAATGTTTCCCAAGATCTCCATCTATCATTGGATTTTAAACTGAAAAGTTTTATGAATCCTTTTACGTATAATAGGTCGGCCCAAAGCTCTTTATGGCTCGTCATGTACTCATAGGTTTGTACCACACGCTAGCCATAGGTTTTCACTGTATTCACAACACTAGAGTAAATGGTCTCTCGTTTCATCATAAACAGAGCATAGACGACAGTTGGTAGGAATGTTTCACCACTACAGCTTTTGAGCCATTCTTTTATATTAGTTCAAGATTCCAATACATGATAACCACAAAAAAAAAAAGGAAATCTTGAATCCAGTTGTTTTTCTACTTTGCAACAATCATGTTCCTTTTCAAGCGGAAGTCCATATACTTATCATGTTCCTATCTAATAATACTCATCAATTTTATTTAACTTGGTGACTTTTTAAAAAGTTATCGTTTGAAGAATACAAGATTAATCAAACATATATTATCAAAACCGTTTTTTAATGTCAATTGAATACGTTTAAGATTATGAATTATTTCAAACTTATTTTAGCCTATCAAATATCGCGTTTGTATGTAAATATTCTTAAATATTTTTTTTTAAAATATTTTTTTAAAATAAGAAAAAAAATATACAAATTACTGTTTCGAATGGAAATTTAATTGTTGTTGTTTTTATATAAGAGATAATAGTATATATCATTTAGGCAATTTTTTATTTAAATTTTAAAAATTTGATACAGAAAATTAAAATTGAATAATAATGTGAGAAAATGTATTTGTTTAAAGAAACTATTCAAATGTATAAGTTTAAAACTATTCAAAATGTGTAAGTTTAAAACTATTCAAATGTGTAAGTTTTAAAACTATTCAAAATGTGTAATTTTTAAAACTATTCAAATGTGTAAGTTTTAAACTATTCGAAATGTGTAATTTTAAAACTAGTATTCTCCTATATAAACAAACACAAATCAACTCAAACTTTCTCACAAAGATT